CTCACAGTTGAAGTGTACCCATGATGTCAATTACTGACCTCTGTCATCATTTTAAGTGGGAGAACTTGCACAATCGGTGGCTGACTAAATACTTTTTTGCCCCACTTTGTGTGTGTATATATACATATATATATATATATATATATATATATATATATATATATATATATATATATATATATATATATATATATATATATATATATATATATATATACATACATACATATACGTATATTTCCCATCTCACCCTCTGTGGGTGGTCTCATTCTTCTACACACCCTCTGGTCCCCCTTTGTTAATATTGGGACCACCACCCCAGTCTGCCACTCCACAGGAACTGCCCCGATGACCAAGCAATGTAGCAGAGACGTGTCAACCAAGTCTGTCCTACAACATCCAAAGCCTTGAGATATCCAGGTCGGATCTCATCCACCCCAGGGACTCCGCCGCTGCATAGTGGTAGAGGAGCTCCTCAAAGTATTCCTTCCACCGCCCGACTATAGCCCCAGTTGACGTCAATAGCTCACCATCCTCACTGTAAACAGTGTGAGCAAGAAGACATTTATTATGGCTTCCCTTCTTGGTAACAAGGTCATAGAGCAGAGGGTAACATACCAAAGACCAACAATTTGTTATTTAGTTATTATATAATAATAAAAATAAAGAGGCCATTTGGTCAGTGCATAACAGTAAGAGCCCTGGAGGCTCAGGAGTGTAGACTGTGGCCCAGGTGTAATGTAGATAATGCATATGAAGCATAATATCCACCAGGCAGCAGCTTTAGGCTGTGCTAACTTTCAAAACACTTTCAAAACCTATGTTACTGCTAAATTTTTTTACTTTATCCATGTTGTGTTGGCATCAAACGACAGGAGGGATTTGTTTCAGCTTAAAATAGATAGAAACGTGAAAGGCTGCAATGTGCCATAATGTCCCCCAGGCGGCAGCAGTGAGCTGAGCTAACTCTAAATAAAAACGTATTTTATTGCTTTGTTTTGAAATGTATATGAGTTGTGTTAACACCAAATGACACGACAGGTTTAAAATTGGTTTCGTGTAGAAAGAAGTTACTAGAAACAAGGTTGAATGTCCAAAATTCTGCTTTGTTTTATGATTTAGTTCAATGTGGAAATTTGCAATACGCCACAATGTCCACTGTCTGGCATCACTGAGCTGTGTTAGACTAAAAACGTATTTGATTGCTTTACTTTTTAATCTGTCCATGATGTGTTAACACCAAATCACATGAATTTATTTATGCTTAAAACATTTTTAATGTGAAAATAAGTTATTAAAAACCAGGTTGTAATGTGGAAAACTGCAATTCATCATGTCCACCAGAAAGCAGCAGAGAGCCCTGCCAACTTACATTGCAAACTTGTTTATGTTTATGATAATGTATTTAGCAGTTGCTTTTGTCCAAAGCGACATACATGTTATTTCATCGCTTTCTTTTGAAATTCAACTATGTTGTGTTAACACCAAATCACAGCAGGAATTAATTCAAGATCTAGATAATTTTTATGGAAAGCAAAGCAGTTAAAAGAAACCAGGTTTTATTCCTTATATTATTTTTCCTAAGCTGTAATATGAGAAGCTGCAATACACTTGTAAGTCCACAAGGTGACCGCACTGAGCTATGTTAGGATTTAAAACATACTTGATTGATTACTTTTATCTTGAAATCTATCCGTGCTGTGTCAACACCACAGAACACGAGGAATTCAGGTAAACGTTCAAAAACTTTTAAACATGGTAAACAGATGCTAGAAAGTAGGTTGTACGCAAGGCCGGATTAACCATATGGATAACTGGGCAAATGGCCAGGGCCCACGAACTCTAAAGGGCCCAGGCCAGGGCACGAGCAAAATACTGTATCTGTAATTTCCCGCTTTATGAGGACTATGGTGACCGTACGTCCTGTTTTCCCTGGACATGTCCATTTTTCACTCTCTGTCTGGGGCGTCCGGACCGGGGGTTCTTGTATTGATTGATGAAAATGTCCGGCTTTTGCAGGAGCAGGGATCGAATTATGGGGGAGCTGTATATCCTACACATCCAGGGGAGCCGGAAAAAAGTTTTCTACCTATATTACTATATTATCATTCATGGACTCTTTTGAGCAGAGAGCACAGAGAGCGGCACAACGCATTTTTGCGCAGCGCTCCAAGCTGCTGCTTCCAGCGCACGGTCCATTCTCAAAGTGGCGCAACCAAAAAACTATAATTAGCACACGGTGGTTCATGTCCGCACATGTTCTCTATTTTCTGTCTTATTTGCGACTGAAGCGCTCTGCCACTGCGGAGCTCATTACCTGCTGCGGTGATTTCACCTCACTGACGCAGCATCGAAACGCGCTCCCCGCTTTGTGGTCAGGAGATCCCTTTGATCTGGTCAAAAGTAAATGATGAGGTGAAAAAGTAAGAACCCAGGCAGCAGTTTTTCTGGAGAGTTTAGAGAAGATGCAGGAAGATGAGAGACACAGGACAAGAAAATAGTTAAATAAAAACAAGAAAACAAAATGAAGTGTTGAAAAGTAAAATGTAGGTGGATTTATGTCCACTACACGTTTTTACCTAAAGCAATAAGTTGTATACATGTAATAATTATACATCTGATACAGTTCAGCACACCTTCAAAATTCAGTCACACAGCCAGGGCTGTTTCAAGACATTTTGGGGGCCAAGGCAAAATGCCCCCCCCCCCCCCCCCCCCCATAACTGGGCTCCCCAGAAGCCTCTGTGTAATTCATACCCTCTCCAGGAGTATTAGTTATACAGTGTTTATAAAAGCCCCTCAGACATCACTGACATGTTCTAATATTATCAGATGAAAAACTAAATTATCAGACATGCTGTCTCATCTGCTTCTTTTCTAAACTTGCAAAAAGTAACAAAACCATTTGAAAGCCACTATTTGTGGATTTGTTGATTTTTCATTGATCCTATCATCTAACCTCACAGCTGAGACACGCACCCTTAATAATCTGTGCACAGGAAGCGTACCGATGGTGTAGTAAATCAAAAGGTATAATCATTTCTTATTAATAAAACCTTGTTGCAGCATTAAAGCAGAAAAATGAGATTTTGCAGTAAATATGCTAAATATTTACATATGAATTGTTTTAGAGCCATTTTATTGGCAGAATCTGATATTAATTTTAGTTCTTTCAAAACAATGGGTCCCAACGTGGTTTGTGTGGCGTTGCCATAGTGTGACGTCATAGGCACAGATCCCCTGTCCTCTTGTTTGGAAATGGAAATATGGTCACCCTATATTAAACAAACTGTCCACCCGGGCTTTTGCACTGCACAGAGACGCTTCGCTGCCTCTGACTTTGAACGTCAGTTGAGAGCAGTTGAGCCAGTCTCATGCAGAATGAAGAGAGGGCCTCAAGTTAAGACCCTCTCCTCATTGGTCAGTCTACACAAGGTGGGTCAAAGGTTACCCTGAGCGGGTTACGTGATGTCAGGCATTCAAGTATTGTGTATATTTACTGCATATTACAGTAATATATTCTGTATGTGACCATATTATGGTGATCCTTGGGTCGTGATGATGGAGCCCTTTAATATTGTTGCCCAGGGTACAACGAAGTGTTAATCTGGCCCTGGTTGTACGTACTGCGTTCCGTTTTATCTAATTTCTTAGATAGAAATGAGCGTTGGTCTCACGAGGAACGTGCTATGAAGCACAATATCCACTAGATGGCAGCATTAGGCAGTGTCAGCTTTCCAAACAGATTTAATTGAGGTGATAATTTTTTTGCTTTATCCGCGTTGCGTTAACACCAAACAACAGAAGGAACTTATTTGAGCTTAAATATTTTTTTATTGTGAAAAGAAGTTACATTAAACCAGAGTGTAATGTAGTTAACGACAAATGTCCACCAGGCGGCAGCACTGAGCTAGTCAAACGTTTAAAACAAACCTTTTTGATTATTTTTTAAAAATCCATGTTGTGTTAACAGATGATCACGCGAGGAATTTATTTAATCTTAAACAACTTTCAAACATGATAAGCAGTTACTATAAATCAAGGTTTCTTTGCTGTATCCAGTTTTATCTAAATTATCATATACTGAAGGTTAGTTCAGATGTAAAGTGGAACATTTATATGCACTGGTATCCACCAGGCATCAGCAATAGGCTCTGTACTCTTTTAAAACATACTTATTTATTTAAAATATGTTTTAATGCGATATAATGTTACTAAAAATCAGATTGTAATGTGGAAAACTGCACTGCCAGATAGGTGGCAGGAATAAGAAATTGTAACTTTTTATATAAACGTATTTCATTGATAAATTTAGAACTTTTTATGTTGTGTTAACACCAAATCAAAGCAGAAATGTATGTATGCTTCAAATAATGTTTAGTGTGGAAACCAGTTACAAAAAACAACCTTTATTCTTTGCATTCAAGTTAATGCATGATGGAAATCTCCATGTGAGAACCTGCAATATACTTTCATGTCCACCAGGCGGCAGCACCGAGCAATACAAGTTTTAACACAACTTGTTTTACTGCTTTATTTTGAAATTGATCCGAGAAATAATTAAAAAGCTTTTAAACATGGAGCCAATGAGAGGTGTTAAGGAGTTGATACAAGCCAGACTGTTCTTTATTCTATTTTAATTTTTAAATAGAGCTATGTTGGAATTATCTAATTGTGTAAGGTGAGATGTAGTACTGTGCCATAGTGACCACAAAACGGGAGCACTGAGGTGCACTAGCTTTGAAAGCAACCTTATTTGATTGCTCTATTTTGAAATATATTCGTAGTGTTAACACCATAGACAGATCTGGACGTAGATTTATTTGGTTAACACCAAAACCCATTTTACTAGAAACATCCTGCTGTTTAAATAAATTCCTCGTGTGATGTGGTGTCAATACAAAACGGATGGATTTAAAAATAAAGTGGGACAAACAGGTTTATTTTAGAACAACGGTTACCTAGCAGAAATACTCGCAGGGAATGAAAACGAACCGCGGATTGGAGGTCACGTGACACGAACACAGACATTAAAATCTGAAACTTGTCAACAGAAGCGAAGCTTTTGTGGTGAGTCTTGCTCATTTTTACAAGAAAAAATTACTCCAATTTAACTGAGAATAAAGTCGATGATTTTGAGTGTTGTAGAAAAAGTTATCTAGTTTAATGCTACCTAGCTTGTTTGTTTAATGAAACATAACTGTTGGGAGGGACTGTAATGTGATGAAAACAAAAGACAAAACTAGCTAATTCCCCAATTATTATGTTTTTGTCTGTTATTCATACTGAATTTTCGTCTTTTAAAATTGTAACTTACTGAAGTATTTTTTTCGTTTCAGTGAAACTTTAGTTATATTTGGCGTAACCCGCAGGGGGACACCGTGAGTGAGGCTCACTTCTTTATAAGCAGAAGTTTTTAAATAAACGTTAACAATAATCGTTGAGCATCTCTGTTCAATTCTGGGTTGTTGTTTTTTTAGTTAGCAGTCCCACAATTTGTTAAATGATTCTCGTTTTTTTAATGTAAAAAATTACAACAAAACAAACAGAAAGAAAGTGTTTTACAAACCTAGTGATAGTAGCTACCCACTTCACCTACTGGGTGTACCACTGATCTTATATTATTTGTTGAAAGAGGGTTGCCTTGTTATAAAGGATTTCTGATCAACAAACTCCCCAATATTGTTCTTTTTATCTTTGCAGTGAGAATTAATCAAATGAAGAAAGAAGAGAGCACTCAGCCTTGTGATTCAGAGCCCTGGACTCCCACGGGTGATTTCCAGCAAGCTAATCACAGTCAGTATATGAAACTTTTTTTAAAGCAAATTTGGAAAACAAAGTAGCTTAAAAATTGTATTGCCTCTTAACAAGACACAGTATAGCTAAAATATTGTGGAGAAAAAAGTGGTTTTCTTGCATTTGTCTTAAAACCTTCCACTAATATCACGTTTTGGACTGAAAACAACTACTAGACCATCCGGTTGTCTGTATCGCAGAACCTCTGCACTTGTCTGGGGTCCTCCACTCCTTACTACTGTAGGCTAATCAACACCGCTGGTAAGAGGTTCTCCACTCAGTAATATCAGAGAAGGAGAAACAGCCGGCTGCTACCACTTCAACTTTATGACAAATTACCAGACTTCCAAAAAGAAAAACACCAATTTGGAGTCACGGACAACAAAAGACATTTGGACCTACAAAACAGCGACTGCTGTTTAGCACTATCCTGTTTCCTCTGGCAACGTGAATTTCCGGTTCTGACAGAAAAGGAAGACACCTGAGGGGAGGGTTGAGTGCTGCTTTGTGTTCTTGTTCTCGTTGAAATACGATCGATCACGTTCAGTTTACATTCACGCAGAACGTACTGTAAAACACCATAAAAACCTCCATCATGATCGCAGCGCATAGTAATGCCGCATCGTGGCGAAACACATCCAGGCTTGTGTTAGCTGCGGAGATTAAACATGAACATTTGCGTTTTTCACCCGAGAACAAAGAGCGAACAGATGCAGTGAAAGAGTTACGTTGCTGTTAGCCAATCAGAGGCAGGTTGTTCAGTTCTGATGAATATAAATGAGACAGATTCCAAATCATGACACCCCCCCATCACACACACACACACACACACTCACAGGCACACACACCTCCTGCTAACTTCTACTTCCTGAAAAAGGAGCACCAAAACATTGTTTCAACAGAGAACAACGCCATTCATGCTGGAGACCATAGAAGATGAAGTGAACGAGTCCTTTAATTATTTCTGAAACATCCACATAGAGTTAATGTTAGCGTAGCAACAAAAAAAAAAAAGACAGAGTTGTGTATTCATTTGTTGAAGGGCTTAGGTTTAGGGGTCTAATATTTATCTCCTTTAGATGCTGATCCATCGGGGACGGATTAACCTATAAATTACCTTTAGGTTTTTGTTTTCTCAGGTGGTTATTTTGAGGGATCTCAACCAGGCCTTCCACCCACTGCCTCCATGACCACACTCCAAACATCTCAGCTGATACCGACCTTCTATTTGCTCTCCTATAATCTGCCCCTAATGTCAGGTGAGGTCTCTTTTACAGATCTGTGTTTGTTTTCAAAGCGGAACAACAAATACTGTCGTCATTGTGATGTGTGCATTTCATTATTATTATTAGACAAGTCTTGTGTGTGGAAAGATGTTCCTGTAGTTTGGGGGGTTGTTGAACTCTAGAGTGTCCTGTAGAAATACAAGCCATTTACCTTTTAGTGTTGTTTTTGTCCAGGTGTTCTTATCCAGAACCAGCCACCAGTGGCGGTGAACACAGCCCAGCCCCTACAGCCTGCCTCTGTGGTGGAGCAGGGGAACAGGGATGTTGCAGCTGGCCCACAGGCTGGTGGTATGTCCACACATGATCAGCTTCACTCAGCCAAACACAAATCTGGGTCAAAAACACACATTGATCACATGGGACAGCACATCAGCTCTTAACCAACCAAGTCTCTGGAAGATAATAAAAAGAAACCTGCGGAGGAACCTCCTGTATTTTACTACCAGAGTCGCACGAGACTATCTGAACTGGATTTTGTGTTTGTTCCTCATTTAATGGCTTTTAGAAGAAGGAGAAATTATCTTTTTATATTCTGCGTGTCCTGTCTGGCTATAAAGCAACCAGAATGGATGTCTGAGTGCCGAAGACAAGCCTTACAGTTTTACTTCCACAGGTGGAGCGTCATAGCTTCTGCTATAATGCCACGCCAGATATCAAAACTTTATTAGAAATGTTTTCGGTTGTTTTAAATCCCAGCGGACACGGACACAGAGATGAAAGAGGAAGAGGGTAGAGGATCAGAAAGGGTGGGAGGAAAACAGTTAACAAAGATAAACAATAAAAGGTGTACAAGAAGAAATGATCTTTTATATAGCACCTCTCAAGATAAAAATCACGAGGCACTGCGCAAGAACAACAACAAAAAACAAAAAAAAAGATTTACAAATTAATACAAAATATATCATAACATTGGGAAAAGTAAAACTGTCTTTTAAACGGTGTGTTTGAAAGTATTCAGTAAAAAGCAGCAGCTCCAGCAAATTAATGCCATAAAATAGCAGGAACTGATGATCAGATCTACTTGTGCTTTAATGATGTGGGAGTGATGTTGAGCATTTAGATTTAGCTGTTTTCCAGAACTCACACAGATCCAGAGTTAGGAATGCTGCTTTTAAATGATGATAATCATAAATTCATGCTATGCTTAGTTCTGATTATGTGACTTGTTATGCAGGAAGAGTGAAGCTGAAACCATTAAAATACTTAAAGAGCAAGTTACCCCCACATCAGCTTTTTTTTCCTGATAAACTATATAAATGCGTGTTTATCATGCTGCAGACACGTGTAGTCAGTAGTTTAGCACTTTAGTGCATTTTAGTTAAAATTTTAATTTTCTGCTTAAAACTGTCAGTGCGTCCCCCTCGTGTGTTCTCCAGCCCCCACTAGGTTCCCCTTTTGTGTCTCCTTGTGTTCCCCAGCCCCACTCTAGGTTCTCCCCTTAGGTTTCTGTGCCCCTTTTTGTCCCCAGCTCCCTCCCGGTCTCCCTCAGGTCTCCCCTAGTCACCCCTCTGTAGCTTTTCATGTTATTAGTCTCCTTTAGTGTGTGTTTCCTTCCCCACTTGTTAATTAGTCTCCCTTACTCCTCAGGTCATTAGATATTTATTCTTTGGTTCTCCTGTGCCCTTAGTCTTTTAGGTTTATTATTTATTTAGAGATTTTTAGGTTAGGGTTTATCCCCTCTGCTTGGTTTTCCCTTCTCATTTATTTAATTGATTTCACCAGTCTCCCCTCAGTTCTCTCTCACCGCGCACCTGCTCCTCGTCTCCCAATCACTGTGTATATAACCCTGTCTGCGTCCCAATGTTTTGTTGGTTCATTGCCAATCACTGTGTATATAACCCTGTCTGCGTCTCAATGTTTTGTTGGTTCATTGTCCTTGTCAGCGTTGTTTTGTGTGTCGTCGCCCCCCCCCCACACACACACACACACACACACACACACACACACACTTCCCCTCTTAGGTCTCAGTTTCTGGCTTTAGGCCCTACTAGGTTTTCTTTGCACTCGTCATTCTTAATAAAGAATGTTTAAGTTTACATTCTCTCCTTCCTCGTGTCGTTCTGGGTATCTGCGTATTGGGTCCCACTCCTCCAACCCACAACGTGACAGTTAGCAGGTAAAAACTCTGCACTGCATCTGAATTTAAATCTGCTATCACTATTGGCAAAGAGGTACCTTAGAACGCTAGCTGGTAAAATATGATGTCATAATGTGTGTGTTTGTGTGTGTGTGTGTGTGTGTGTGTGTGTGTGTGTGTGTGTGTGTGTGTGTGTGTGTGTGTGTGTGTGTGTGTGTGTTAGTGGCTCCGCCCTCTCGGTCTGCTAGGCAACAGCTTTTGTTGCATTTTTCAAACAGGAAGTGGGAGTTGAGTAAGACTCTGTTAGGGGGTGACTTGCTCTTTAAAGAGCAAGTCACCCCCAAATAAACATTTTTTTGCTGATAAACTAAATAAACGAGTGTCTAATCATGCTGCAGACACGTGTCGTCAATAATTTGGCACTTCAGTGCATCTTAGTTAAAATTGAAATATTCTGCCTAAAACTGGCTGTGTTGTGCCGTTGTCAGGTAAAAACTCTGCACTGCATTTTAATTTAAATCTGCCACCGCTATTGGCTAAGAGGTATGCTATGATGTAATCTGGTACATTATGATGTCACAATGCTGTCGTGAGCCTGAGTGTGTGTGTATTTGTTAGCAGCTCCGCCCTCTCGGTCTGCCAGGCAACGGCATTTGTTGCATTTTTCAAATATGAAGTGGGAGTAGATTTAGACTCTGGTAGGGGTTGACTTACTCTTTAAAAATAAATCATGTGGACTATTGGAACACTGCCGAGAGAGCCTGCAACACATTCCATCGAGCTCGTAGGAAATAGTTGCTGTAATTCAAGCTTCATCTTCTTTACACAATTACTTTATCAGTAATTATTGGACTCTATTCAGAATAGAGTCCTAGCACAATGCTAATGAGTTATTCCATGACAAGCACATGTTTGTTTTGCCCTGAATAAATGTTTTTAAGGTGTTCTATTTAAACCTTTATGTATTTTTAACAACACAAACACATGTTTTTATTAACTGTAACCACTGGGATGACATTTTATTTTAATTGGCATAATCCAAACCTGCACTGTGGTTTCATGTTGTCTACAAGTGAGAACAAGCACCTTCATAGTAATACTAAGTAGACTTAAAACCACTGAGAAACGTCCTCGGCCCACATCTCCTTCGTCCTCTGCGAAACTTTCTAGCTCCGCCCACTCACTCACACCGCAGCAGTGGCTGATGTCACTGAGCTCCCTGGAACAGGCGCCCAGCAGCGATGTGTGAACATGAAGCAACATGATATCTTCAGTGATGTCAGTCGCAGGCCCAGCCGTGATGACACCCATCTCTTTTCACATGACTGGATTATTCAGCAGACACAACAGGCAGTGTTGGATAGGAAACTAAACTAGCTCCATATCGTACTCATTTATATCTCTGTGACTTTGGGTATTTTAACAAATTGTTGAAAATACTTCTTTTTTTAATGCATCTAGTTTTAAAGCAAAAACACCTCAAATGATTAAACTAGTCATAACACTCTGCAGATTGTTTGTTTCTTCATAATTATCATGGCTGAGACGATTAACAGATCACTTTAACAGCGAATGGATCTGCTTCAGTTTGGCTTTACTCTGTTGTTTCAGACAGATGTATAACTTCTGATTTATTCTGCTAATTTGTTCAAATCTAAAGCCTTGCCGACGTTTACAGCATTTAGTAATTACTCATACCTAGATATTTGCCTATGAATTTATTGGTTCAGTCCTGTCATGTGACTGGTTTGTTTTGGTTTTCCAGACTTTTGTGGTAACGTGACCAACTACCAGCAGGAGATCCCGATGCTCGCCGTTCCAATGGCTGGTGAAGGCCCCAGGTACCAGCGTCACAGGGTGTCTCCAGAGATGTTTCTGCAGAGGAGGGAGCTGAGGTTAAGGCTCAACAGGTAGACCAAACTGATTACATCACAGGTTTGATGGTAGAACTCAACAGTGGGTTTAATACAAACTCATATTAGATGTTTGTCAGGTAACATCAGAAAGCTCCCTGTAGCAATAGTTATCCTCCATCATGGTTTAGTTGCTTATTTGCTTCACTGTGAAAAACGAGGCAGCTCACGACCTGCTTTTGTGTGCGTCAGTGCTCTTGATTGTTTTTCTTCTGGTGTTAAACTCTGTTTCAAGTAGATTTAATCAAACTTTTCTTCAACATTGTTTCACTCAGCTGTGCAAATAAACATATTACTGCATCTGATAAAGATTTTTGGTTATTTTTAAAACACAGGAAAGGGTTCTCTTTACCTTGCTGACAGTTTCGTTTGCTGACTGCAAAACATCCTCAGAGCTGACGCTGATGGTGGCGTCACTCCCTACTCCGTTTATGTTTGCATGGGATTTCATAAATGACTCCACATTTAAGTCTTTTGACATTTTGTGTATGGTGGGGTGTTGAAAATGAAAATAACCAGGCAGACCGACGGGACCCTAAGCATAAACACACATAGGAAACCAACACACACAGACCAATATCTATTATGGACATCAGAACACCGTACCATACACAAAATGTCAGTAATCAGAACACTATATCACCGAGCAAACATGATAACAGAAGAAATAGACCGTAAACAAGAGGACAAACACATACAACATGCTTTAAAGACCTGGGGATACCCGACATGGGCAATAAACAAAGTAAAACAACAAACAACAACAGAAAGAAAAGAACAACCAAAGCAAAGAACCAGAAACCCAGAAAGACAAGAACCAAAACCAGTGATAACTCTACCATACATCAAAGGCATAACAGAAAAAATAAGAGCAACAATGAAAAAACACAACATAAACACACCAACAAAACCATACACAACAGTTAGAAACAGACTAGTGCACCCAAAAGATAAGATACCAGCTGGACTTAAATGTGGAGTCATTTACGAAATCCCATGCAAACTCTGCAATAAAACTTACATAGAAGAAACCGGACGCCAACTCAACACACGAACAATAGAACATAGAAAGGAGTGTGAGAAAGAAACAAGTCGAAGACACACAAGAGCAGCAAAACAAGAAGCAGCAAGCACTATAAAGAAGTCAGCAGTAACAGATCACTGCACAAGAGAAAACCATATAATGGACTGGGACAACACAAGGATCATAAACACCGAACAACAGAAATACAAAAGATGGATAAAAGAAGCTATAGAGATAAGGAGACATGGATGTGGGACCATGAACAGAGATGATGGGATCTACACATTGGATCATGCATGGGACTGCATCACCAGAGAGGGGAGAGCAGGCAGCAGAGGGCAACAACGTCCTCTGCTGCCTGCGGATAAAACAGAGCAGGAAGTGACGCCACCATCAGCATCAGCTCTGAGGAAGTTTGCAGCCGCAAACGAAATGCCAGCAAGGCAAGGAAAACCTTATCTGTGTTTAAAAAAGAACCCAAAATGGAATTAGAAACCAGACTCAGTAAGAACACACCAAAGATGATAAAGGATCTTCTGATGATGTTACTTCTTCCAGGGAAGCAGCAAAAAGGAGTCGGCAACGGAAGGCACAGTATTTAACATTCCTGAGAAATCGCGTGGAGGAGTTGGAAAATAAAAACAAGATGCTGAAAGAGGAACTTCGAGCCTTAAGAAGCATGTACGGAGCCCCCGCTGAACTTAAACCACTTTTATGTGCCGTAAAAACTCAGCATTAAATCTCAGTAACAAAAAATGTTCAGTGTGTTTGCTCGATGGTGTCTCAGGATTAGCCACTGCAAGGAGCAATGCAGGAACAGAAGAGTGCTTGCTACAGCATACATCTGAGAAGGCAGGTCTGCCAAGTGGTGAGAGGAAGATGGATGACTTGTTTATCTCCTGTAAATCAAAAACAAGGTGTTGGACCTTCAGCTGCTGGGGCTGAGCAAACACGACCCTCTGTTTGGCTTCACACCACTAATAACAACACATTACAGATTAGTGTTTTAAAAACTTTAGCTACAATCTAAAGCGGCTGATGTGGAAGGAAGTCATATGTTTAATGACGTTTAATCACGTTCTCTTTCTGAAATAGAATGTGCTTAAAATCCTCTTAAAGGAACCAATAAAGTAGATTTAAAAGAGATGACCCGACCCTCGAGTTTTCTAATGCATTTGTTTGGTTATGCGTCACTTCCGCTGAAACAGTATAACAGTGGGAAACAGAATCTGATACCTGGTGGGGTTCGCCTCACACCTGAGGCTTTTGTGAAAACCCTTTCCTGACCATTAAGTAACAAAAGACAGCTAATCTTCACCCCCTCACAGAGAAAATTGGGTTACGAAACAGGAATGACACAAACTGAACATCAGCTTATTTAGTGCCGCCTCGTCAATAAGCCCGGCTGTGATGATATAATAATAACTATTTCAGTTTGAGTGTATTGTTTTTAAATAAGTCACCAATCTAACAAAGACTGGCTCAGTTTTGCTTTTTTGTTTAGCACTCAGAGCCAATTGGATTCAATCATTGGTGCAAATGCGTCTATTGAACAGCAGGGGGCGCCCCAGCAGCACGCTTGATTAAACAAACCAACGCGATCACTCCAAAAGCGATCACTAGACCAAATTATTGCTTTGCAAAGTTTTTTAAATAATATATTTATTTAGTCTAGCTTGCCAGGTTTTATTCTCTCAAATATCAGCTGCCGAAATTTGCCTCCCCCTGTTGTGGGAAGGCGCATTTGAGTAACAAGGCAGCCTATTAATGTTTGTTATCTGCATGCTTCCAGGAATGATAGCTATGGACAGATGCATGAAATAAATGACTGCTTGTAACATGTTTTATTTGTATTAATACGTCTTTCAAAGATTTGTAATTTAGTCATATTGCTGTTTTTAAAACAACAGCAAAAGAGTTTAAGCAAACACAAAATTTAAAAAAAAAATCTGTAAAACATTAGTCTCAAACGTGTTCAAAAACTTTATTTAACCCTTTTTTCATCGTGTTTCTAGTCAAAACCCAAACATTTTCAGGAGAAACACGGATTAGCAATGTGTTCACATTATGCATGTATTAGCAATAGCCTCGTCGCTCACAAAGATGCACATTTCGGCAGGCGTGCTTTTCTAGGCACAACACCTGGCTTACAGTAGCATTTCAAATACAATTTTTCAAGCAGCATATGTGTGGAGTTATCTGGTTTTCACATAGAACTGCTTAAAATACATTCAGAACACAAGAACACATCACTGTTTTATTACATAGTTGTAACCACCGCCCTTTTGAACCGGAAACGTTTCCGTTACTGCCCAACAATATGTTCAAGTTCCTCAATAAAAAGTGTTTTCTCTTGGTTTTCAACATCTCGAACAGCAAATGGAATAAATAACCTTCCAGTTAAACCTCAGTTGTAAGTAAAACACAAATAATTGTTTGTTTTTATTTACAAAATGTTGCTGAGGACACCGAAGTCCTTCAAATTACCACAGGCGTGTTAATATGTGAATTATGTGATCGTATTGACATCGTAAGTAACGTGGAGTCAGTCTCCCAAAGCACAATAATTATTAATGAAAATGCACAGAAATGAAGAAAAAATACGCTACACGTGTCTACAGCACTATTATACACTCGTTTATAAATTTTATCAGCAATTAAAATTTTATTTTGGTGTGACTTGCTCTTTAACATAATTTAACTCATAGTACTTTCCTTTTGGTCAGTTTAAAACAGCATTTGACATTGTTGTTGAAATTCCGACCATGTGAGAAGCTCGTGAATGCCTCACGGTAGCGGATGTAGCAGCAGCAGCCCGTCAGGACGGAGGCAATCATGTAGCGCTTAACGCTGCTACAATTTGTTCCGACTTGCTGAATAACAGCGTTTTCTTCTTCATTCGTGCGGGCTCACGGTACCAGAACATGAGAACGTGTTTGTGAAGAAAACTGCGCGCTTGGTCATGAGCTACAAGGCCGGCGAGGGAGTCTACGGTGACGCCGAAGCCGTTAGCGTCACTGCCTAAACCTCGCAGTGCTTGGAGGGGATATTAAAATCTTCTAATATCAGATTCTGACAATTTTATCCGATTTAATGGCTCCACTGTGGCTGAGCGTCTCTGGAATGCCAGGGACGGGGGTGTAACGCCAAAGGATACTGGGGGCCAGCTTGTAGTTTGCACTAGTATCCGCGTTACCGCCCCGTTTTTATTTTGCTGTAACGCAAACAGTGCGGCTAACACAGGGCAGAGTACCAAGCGTCGGTCGAATACCGGCAGTAAATCCCTGTGTGCACAATGGGGAATACTACGTCCTGTTGTGTGTCGTCGAGCCCCAAACACCGGAGGAGCAACCACTCCAGGCTGGAGCCCTACCGGCCGGAGCCGGAGCTGAGTCGTGAGGACACGGGCTGCAACCTGCAGCACATCAGCGACAGAGAGAACATAGACGGTAAGATGCGCACCGAGCAGTCTGGAGCAGTTCAGCTTCATGTAGGGAGGAAAAATCCCTAACTGTGTACAAACACTTTGCTGTTTTTCCATGTGTAGGTATTGCACACTGTGCTGGAATGACGCAGCTTTAGGGTCGAGTGATAACATATTTAGTTTCCAGTATATACCAGCAGTATTCACAGTTCTGCAGACATTTTTAGATTTAGTATTTCAGTGTATCTATTACCAGGGGCGGCTCTAGAATGTCCCCAAAAGGGTGACACGATGGGGGCCTGTTAATCCCGGAGTGACACCAAATCTAAAATTCATAATACAATTTAAGAATTTGGATAATTGTGTATTATGGAATTGCATTCAGATATTTTAATTTACATAAGTATTTTGGGCCAAATGGCAACTGTTTGCAACAAATTGCAAACTGTCTTTTTGAGCGGGTTTCCAAAATGCCCCACAGTCTTCGTGAAGGTTCTCCGTTTTTTCCTGAGAGTTGCAAGGCTTTGCTTTTTTTTTTTTTCTAAATAATTTAACTTGTTCAGAAATTAGTAGACCTACTTCCTCTCATAGTTGTTGAGATCATCTTGAACCTTCTCCACAAACCGTTTTCATGAGTCTGAAAGTACTAGAAATGTGAGAAAACTTTGGGAGTGGTTGGTGACTTGTGAAATTTACACAATGGTCAGCTATGGCCCAGGTAGAGTCATTGTATTGGTATTTACGTTGTCCATGTGTTGTTGCTGTGGAGCGGAGCGGCCCTGAATCCCTGTGGTTGGTTTCGTGATGATCCAGTCATACACATGGCCAGCTGACGTTATCTCACTCACACCTACCTACGAAAGGGAGCCTCTGATTGGTAGAATCAGCCAGTGGCAGCCTCCTGCATGCGCAGTGTGGTAAACATCTTCTCTGACTGCAGCTAGGACCGGAGCTGAAAACTGCAAATAAAATCAGGATTAACTGCAAACAAGCTGAGACACTTAGAGACTGTATTACAATAAGAAACTATGAGGTTTGCATAAATGTTGTAACTAATGCACCATTTCGACAGATGCAAATGTGTAATTTCAGTCGTGCCTAGGTGGTAACAGGTCCCATGGGAGGGTCAGCAAATTTTAGTGGCACCATTGCTGTTATATTCAGTTTGTAGCGAAGACCCCTTCTAGAAGTTTGTAATAGGTCATTAGTATTTTGAGTCTTGTCTAGACTTTTCTGACTCTTACCCTTTGTCAGTTAGTGTGTGAACTGATCCATAAGTCTGGAGCTGCTGACTGATGGGTTAGTGTGAGTGAGTGTTCCCTTGGGAGTGGGGTGTGATAATGATGGACTGCATTGGGAACAGCTTTCTTTATCACTTCACTTTTCACTGTCATTAATACTATCACACTATCACTCTGCTGGGGTTTTAAGGGAGCTGTAGAGAAGCTGGTTGTTGACCCAACAAATCAGATTATAAAACTGATTTTGGTCCTGGACATCTAGAAAATGATTAAAACAAAAATAGTTTAAAATGGTTGGCAAATTTAAAGAGTTTTTACCAGAAATTAGTTCAGTTTTTGTCAGAATAATGTCTGAAAAACCTTTGTTTTCATTTTACATATTAAAAATAAATCCAAGGTACTTGAGGGCGAGACGGCAAAAACAAAAGGAAGCATGCTGCCATTTTAAAGACTTGTCATATGTGAAACAGCAGGAGAAATCAAGCTGGGTCACTGCGCATAACCCTGTGTCATATTGTTTCTGTTGTTAAAAAAAGTCATGACAATGGTGTTTTTATTTTTTCTGGAAAACTGACAGAACACTGGCATTGTGTACATCTCCTCACACAGAGGCTTTATTTCAGCAAAAATGGGTCAAAAAGCTGGCTGATTGTCTTTTAGTGCTAGGTATCAGGCAGGGTTCAGGCTTTAAAGGGGTCTTTTTATCACTTTGGAAAATACTGGATCAGATGTAGACCGAGTCAGATGAGCTTTGATCTATATACAGTCAGGTCCATAAATATTGGGACATCGACACAATGCTAACATTTTTGGCTTTATACACCTCCACAATGGATATCAAATCAAACGAACAAGATGTGCTTTAACTGCAGACTGTCAGCTTTTATTTGAGGGTATTTAAATCCAAATCAGGTGAACGGTGACACTTATATTTCATCACACTTTGGTAGTAGCATATCTGGGAAATGTCCTAGAAATCTTCTTTTCTTAATTTCCTTCATAGCAGCTTATCTGGGAATTGTTCCTGTGCCTAAAATGCAGGCATCAATTACTTATTTGTAAAAATCTACAAGCAAAGACAATTTGGCAAATTCACTTCAGTGTTTCCCCTAGGAATTTTTCCAACTATGGTGGTGGTGGGGTGGGGTGGGTGGGTGGGGGGATTATGACAAGTCTCTAAATAAAGTAAAAATTTCCAGTGTAGATTGGAGACAACCCATAGAAGCACTGATTTGATCTCTTTTCAGAGAAAAATAGAACAGGTCAGATGCACCTAATAAATAAAATTACTAACAAACTCAAGAATCTTTCTTTGCTTCACTGTTCTGGTGCTGAGAATATCACTAATGCGGATCAAAGGAGATACACAGATGAATGCACCTCCTATTTATTATTTGGAGACTACATTTACTGCAGCTGGCAGACAGATTTTTTCTATTGATACACGGTAGAGCCCTGCACTGAAGCCCCAGGCCCTCGGGTCGGCCTGGCCCGAGGGCCGGGCTTCGGGCCAACCACTGTGCAATTACCTCAGGGCCGGGCCGGGCGCCTTTATTTTTAATCGAATTCATTAAAAAAATTGAAACACTTAAACGCAGCAGTAGAGCCCTGCGCGGGACTGTTTTCTTCATCCCGCTCCTGCCCGCTCCCAACGAATTTCTGACCATTACCGCCTGCGGTGTGTGTTACACTCCCGCCCGCACCTGCAGCGTACATGTCTACTCCCGCTCGCAACCGCAAAACTCGGAGAAATTATTACCTCACAATAAAAGAGATGTATTGAGTTTGCGTCCTCAACATGTCATTTTATAGGTTATCCGCTTTCACCGCAGCGCTGCGCTCCGTTTCAATCAGGCTGTACAGCAGGATTTCCCCTCGTAGCGATATTTTCTCTAACTCTGATTGCTTCATGCTATAGATCGTTGGAAAGCTGCTTTTATGTACTTTTAGGAACCGTTAGAATTATTTGAATCTGATCAGCCATTCAAAAGTTATAAAACGGAGCATTTTGGATGACAAACTTAGCACGTCTCTGAATCTGTGTTGTGATTCGTTGCGCTCAAGACAGGGAATCCCGGTGGATACCGTAATGTATTGTATATGCACGAAAAGCCCCATTTTTAATTTTTTCATCACTTTTGGAATTTTAATATCTTGAACTAGAGCAGGGATCGGCAACCCGCGGCTCTTCCATCCATCTGATGCGGCTCTGTGCTTGTAAAATAATGAATGGATATTCAAATAAAATGCTTTATATATTACTGAATTAATTTTATATCTGTAAGTCAATTCTATGTGAAGATTGTCTGCGTAAACCTGAACAGTTCCAACCCAGTCTTATTGTGAGACCGGATTGACGGGTCACGCTTGTGCGTAATCATAGCTGAAAAGGATGTGAGATTCTGGGCTTCTCCTCAGACAGGCTCCTGGATGCGTTGCACATTGGAGACAGGAACAAGCACTATTCAGCCAAAGTTTCATAATCAGGGAACATTTTCTAAGTGACAATTCTCTCTGAGTGACAGGGTTTGGAAAACACTCGCTTCAGTGGGAGGAAGCTTCCCGCATGCGCTCTGGTTCTGCGACACGCTCAGCTGCGCTGAGCAATGTCCAGCTCAGATGTTCAGATGGGAATCTTTTCTTGGGTGATTTAGCTACATCTGCAATGTGCATAACGAATAAGATGTCAGATCGTCTGCATACGTTGGGGTAATTTTTTCTATTCTTTCTCCGTCAAAATTAACAGTCAAATACGGGAACTGTCCAGTCAACACAACACAAGCCCTGCTCTTGACTGTTTTGTTTTCTTGTGAAAATTGTTGGAAAGATATAAAATTTAACTTGATTACCACCAGAGCCTGCGCCGTTATCTCCGTGACAGTAAATGAGGGAAAAACAAATTGATCGGATCCTGCACGTCTTTTAACACATTGGTCAGGATCGACGCACTTTGTTTTCATTTAGTTGGTTAAAAAAAAGTCAGGCTCGAGCTCGGGTCGGGCCAGAGAATCCTGAAAACCTTTTCAGACCGGGTCGGGCTGGGGCTCCACCCCCTCGGGCCGGGCCGGACACTGGCTCAGATTTTAGGCCCGTGCAGGGCTCTAATACACGGAATTTACAGAATCATTTTAAATTTTAATAGGGGAAGACTGCAGGAGGGAGCTGTAAAATATAGGGGGTCCCCAGCAAAAACAAGAAATTTACGAGTCTGATGAAACCCGCTGGTTTTCCATCAGGCAGTCACGGGGCAGCTCCAACGACCCAGTGGCTGTGCTGGGTCAATGTTATCGAGCTCAGTCCGGCTCGGCCGTGAACGAGCCGAGGCGACGTTGTGCTCTGCTTAAGAAGAAGTGTTTTTTTCCCGCTTCAGACGAAGCATCCAACGTGTTTTTATGCTTTCTCTGAGACATGTCACGTCGCTAAGTTGTTAGCGCCGCGCGCTAACACGTCAATAGTGCAACATAGCCTGCTGGAGGTTTTAAGGGTTCAGATGAAAACACCCGACCTCTCAGGCTGCTCACACATCGATCTTAAGTTGTCGCTGTTGCGCTCACGCCGTAATACAGTATTAGATGCGGTTAAAGTCAGACATGAAAAAATAAATAAATTTTACATGAATAAGTGATGCTTAGCCTCGTGGGGGGAGGAAAACCTGGCCTAATAAGCACGGGAGGAAACCTTGTCAAGATCGTCAACACTCGTTTATCTTAATGCTGCTGAAACATGTAAACCAAAAAGCATTATATCCACTGCTACCTTTCTAATTTTAAACTCAGTAACTTAT